ATGTAGAGTCCTTGACTCCCCTCACATTGACTCCCCTCACATTGACTCCCCTCACATTGACTCCCCTCACATTGACTCCCCTCACATTGACTCCCCTCACATTGACTCCCCTCACATTGACTCCCCTCACATTGACTCCCCTCACATTGACTCCCCTCACATTGACTCCCCTCACATTGACACCCCTCACATTGACTCCCCTCACATTGACTCCCCTCACATTGACACCCCTCACATTGACTCCCCTCACATTGACACCCCTCACATTGACTCCCCTCACATTGACTCCCCTCACATTGACTCCCCTCACATTGACTCCCCTCACATTGACTCCCCTCACACAATGCGGCGGTGTTAGTCTTGTACGCTGTGCAAACAATCCCACACTTGATCCCACTACCTCCTCTGTCCGACGTTATGACTGGCAACCCAGCCGTACTACTTGGGGGGGGGGGGAAGGGTCGGTCTTTTTATTCGCCATTAAGGCTGACATCTTTTTATTTCGTCATTATGGCTGACATCTTTTTATTTCGCTATTATGACTGACATCTTTTTATTTCGCTATTATGACTGACATCTTTTTATTTCGCCATTATGACTGACATCTTTTTATTTCGCCATTATGACTGACATCTTTTTATTTCGCAATTATGGCTGACATCTTTTTATTTCGCCATTATGGCTGACATCTTTTTATTTCGCCATTATGGCTGACATCTTTTTATTTCGCCATTATGACTGACATCTTTTTATTTCGCCATTATGGCTGACATCTTTTTATTTCGCCATTATGGCTGACATCTTTTTATTTCGCCATTATGACTGACATCTTTTTATTTCGCCATTATGACTGACATCTTTTTATTTCGCCATTATGACTGACATCTTTTTATTTCGCCATTATGGCTGACATCTTTTTATTTCGCCATTATGACTGACATCTTTTTATTTCGCCATTAAGACTGACATCTTTTTATTTCGCCATTATGACTGACACCTTTTTATTTCGCCATTATGGCTGACATCTTTTTATTTCGCCATTATGACTGACATCTTTTTATTTCGCCATTATGACTGACATCTTTTTATTTCGCCATTATGACTGAAATCTTTTTATTTCGCCATTATGGCTGACATCTTTTTATTTCGCCATTATGGCTGACATCTTTTTATTTCGCCATTATGACGGACATCTTTTTATTTCGCCATTATAACTGACATCTTTTTATTTCGTCATTATGGCTGACATCTTTTTATTTCGCCATTAAGACGGACATCTTTTTATTTCGCCATTATGGCTGACATCTTTTTATTTCGCCATTATGGCGGACATCTTTTTATTTCGCCATTATGACTGACATCTTTTTATTTCGCTATTATGTCGGACATCTTTTTATTTCGCCATTATGACAGACAACTTTTTATTTCGCCATTAAGACGGACATCTTTTTATTTCGCCATTATGGCTGACATCTTTTTATTTCGCTATTATGGCTGACATCTTTTTATTTCGCCATTATAACTGACATCTTTTTATTTCGCCATTATGACTGACATCTTTTTATTTCGCCATTATGACTGACATCTTTTTATTTCGCCATTAAGACGGACATCTTTTTATTTCGCTATTATGACAAAACAGCCGTACCGTTGGAGAATCCCTCTGGCCACTACCTAGCCGTCTGGCCACTACCTAGCCGTCTGGCCACTACCTTGCCGTCTGGCCACTACCTAGCCGTCTGGCCACTACCTAGCCATCCTGCCACTACCTAGCCGTCTGGCCACTACCTAGCCGTCTGGCCACTACCTAGCCATCTGGCCACTACCTAGCCGTCTGGCCACTACCTAGCCGTCTGGCCACTACCTAGCCGTCTGGCCACTACCTAGCCGTCTGGCCACTATCTAGCCGTCTGGCCACTACCTAGCCATCTGGCCACTACCTAGCCTTCTGGCCACTACCTAGCCGTCTGGCCACTACCTAGCCGTCTGGCCACTACCTAGCCGTCCGGCCACTACCTAGCCGTCTGGCCACTACCTAGCCGTCTGGCCACTACCTAGCCGTCTGGCCACTACCTAGCTGTCTGGCCACTACCTAGCCGTCCGGCCACTACCTAGCCGTCTGGCCACTACCTAGCCGTCCGGCCACTACCTAGCCGTCCGGCCACTACCTAGCCGTCCGGCCACTACCTAGCCGTCTGTTGAACGTGCCGCTACTCTCAGCGCTGGCACCTGTCGACTTGGATCCCCGCTCCTGCCGTTTCGGCAGCCTCGTTGTGGTGCAGCCACCTAGTGTTAGAACTTGCGTACTACACTGTGAACTGAGAATGGTTGTTGGTGTTTACGTTCTCACTGGCCCAAATGGTTGCTAGTGTTTACGCTCTCAGTGGCCCAAATGGTTGCTAGTGTTTACGCTCTCAGTGGCCCAAATGGTTGCTAGTGTTTACGCTCTCAGTGGCCCAAATGGTTGCTAGTGTTTACGTTCTCAGTGGCCCAAATGGTTGCTAGTGTTTACGCTCTCAGTGGCCCAAATGGTTGCTAGTGTTTACGCTCTCACTGGCCCAAATGGTTGCTAGTGTTTACGCTCTCAGTGGCCCAAATGGTTGCTAGTGTTTACGTTCTCAGTGGCCCAAATGGTTGCTAGTGTTTACGTTCTCAGTGGCCCAAATGGTTGTTGGTGTTTACGTTCTCACTGGCCCAAATGGTTGCTAATGTTTACGTTCTCAGTGGCCCAAATGGTTGCTAGTGTTTACGTTCTCACTGGCCCAAATGGTTGCTAGTGTTTACGTTCTCACTGGCCCAAATGGTTGCTAGTGATTACGTTCTCAGTGGCCCAAGTGGTTGCTGGTGTTTACGTTCTCAGTGGCCCAAATGGTTGCTAATGTTTACGTTCTCAGTGGCCCAAATGGTTGCTAGTGTTTACGTTCTCAATGGCCCAAATGGTTGCTAGTGTTTACGTTCTCACTGGCCCAAATGGTTGCTAGTGTTTACGTTCTCAGTGGCCCAAATGGTTGCTAGTGTTTACGTTCTCAGTGGCCCAAATGGTTGCTAGTGTTTACGCTCTCAGTGGCCCAAATGGTTGCTAATGTTTACGTTCTCAGTGGCCCAAATGGTTGCTAGTGTTTACGTTCTCAATGGCCCAAATGGTTGCTAGTGTTTACGTTCTCACTGGCCCAAATGGTTGCTAGTGTTTACGTTCTCACTGGCCCAAATGGTTGCTAGTGTTTACGTTCTCACTGGCCCAAATGGTTGCTAGTGTTTACGTTCTCACTGGCCCAAATGGTTGTTGGTGTTTACGTTCTCACTGGCCCAAATGGTTGCTAGTGTTTACGTTCTCAGTGGCCCAAATGGTTGCTAGTGTTTACGTTCTCACTGGCCCAAATGGTTGCTAGTGTTTACGTTCTCACTGGCCCAAATGGTTGCTAGTGTTTACGTTCTCAATGGCCCAAATGGTTGCTAGTGTTTACGTTCTCACTGGCCCAAATGGTTGCTAGTGTTTACGTTCTCAGTGGCCCAAATGGTTGCTAGTGTTTACGTTCTCAATGGCCCAAATGGTTGCTAGTGTTTACGTTCTCACTGGCCCAAATGGTTGCTAGTGTTTACGTTCTCACTGGCCCAAATGGTTGCTAGTGTTTACGTTCTCACTGGCCCAAATGGTTGCTAGTGTTTACGCTCTCAGTGGCCCAAATGGTTGCTAGTGTTTACGTTCTCAGTGGCCCAAATGGTTGCTAGTGTTTACGCTCTCAGTGGCCCAAATGGTTGCTAGTGTTTACGCTCTCAGTGGCCCAAATGGTTGCTAGTGTTTACGCTCTCAGTGGCCCAAATGGTTGCTAGTGTTTACGTTCTCAGTGGCCCAAATGTCAAGTATGACGTCAGAGTAGAGAAAAAAGTTTCCTCAATGTCATCAGCGCGGCTAGTAGTAAAGAGAGCAGATTGATTATGTAAACAAATCTGTTTTAATCAATAGAGCAAAATGAACTAACGACGTTTCTCTAACTCACTTAGCTGATCAATCCTAGAATAAAACCTGCACCTTTTGGGGTACAGCCTTCCACGTTTTACAATCGGCCCATCAGTTTACTCGCACTGTGTTGACTTTTTAGTTTGGTGTGTAAATATTGCTTACCTGCTGTTCACCTTCATCAAGGTATTGCAAATGTTGAATAGAGCGGCCAGAAATGTAGGCATTGAGTCAATTACACAGTCGTTCAAATAATTTAGGCATTGAGTCAATTACACAGTCGTTCAAATAATTTAGGCATTGAGTCAATTACACAGTCGTTCAAATAATTTTGGCATTGAGTCAATTACACAGTCGTTCAAATAATTTAGGCATTGAGTCAATTACACAGTCGTTCAAATAATTTTGGCTTTGAGTCAATTACACAGTCGTTCAAATA